AATAAATAAAATAAATAAATAAATAAATTATTGATTTCATACACCGTTTGAAAAAATGGCGAGAAATTTACATTACAATTGTTCAGATCCCAAATTTTCTATACCGACTAGCCTTGTGCTCATGCAGCAGTACTTTTTTTTTTCAAATGGTGGAGTAGCGTCTATAGTAGTTGTTATTACATTGCGGATTTTCGAATCAGTCCATGCATGTTTCTGCTAAAGGTCCCATTCAGAGAGGCGCATTGTCTGTCTGGAGAAGCTGTTCATCAAGCTGAAATAAAGAAGTGCGCATTGAATGAATTGTCCTTGGATGACCTTCAAAAAGTCAGGTGATTAAATTTTGAGACCGCCATGATTAAAGCCCTTTTTGATACTCTGGTTGGATGGTCATGCTCAACAGAATTGAAGACGGGGATCCAAATAAACAAGAGGATKATCTATTATTTTCATGAAGCCTCGTCTTCGGTTCTTTTGTGCATGACCATCCAACATGAATTCCAAAAGTTTATTACCACGACAAAGGAACCATTAACTCTTATTGCTAGCACTGACTTCCAAGTTCCTAAAATACTAGATCTGTACTCATTTCATGAATTTGAAAGAGATGTTCATTCCTATTACGCCCTCTTCTGTCTCTTCTCACTGAATACAGTATTCGTTTTTCATGATCTTTATGGTTTTATTCTAGTCTGTATTTTGAAGATGATGTGAAGAAAGTTTGGAACTATGAAAATAGCGTCGAMCAGTATAAATCTGAGGGTGGTACCAGTAGGCAAGCGGTAATCCAGCAAATAACAGTGCTTAACCGTTGGCTTATGAATCAAAATGATCCGTTGAAGAACTAGATTTAGTAGGAGGAAATATAGATTACTCCACTGAAAGTGCCAACGAACGATTTTTATTCACGAGTTGCGTAGCCCAAAAACAAAAGCACGAGGATTTCTTTTCGAATCGTAGACGCCTGTGAGATACTGCAGGCAGGAAGCCATTTGAATGCAAAACACACACACACCGGCATCAGCATAAAAGGACGAACAATGTTGGTTAACAATTTTTATTAAAGCGACTGAATTATACAGAAAATCATGAAAATATAAGTATGATATATTTTCAGTTTAAGTAAATATAGATAAATATGTATGAAGTGTTTTGTAATTCTTTCACTTTTGAAAATATAGTCTGAACGAGCTCAACTGGAGCTAGAAGCTTCAAGAACTAGAAGCTTCAAGTAAAATCTGCCAAATCCAACATATATTAAACTACATGCTCTTGGAGCGTGAAGTCAGGCTAGCTATTTTTGAAAATTGAGAACTGAAGACAGGATATTACATGGTGCGCGTATAGGAGAACGAGTGAAAGCTTTTAAACACGATAAGATTATGATGTAATATTCTGTCTATCATATGATTTGATCATATGATTATATATGAATGTAAATTATGTCGTAGAATATATTTTATTTTACTTCTAATACATAGTGAAAGCAAGAATGCGTTACTTTCACTTTAATTAATGTACTGTTCAAAATTCTAATTGTTTATTGACACGCTACAATATTCTTTTTTGACGGCTTTCTGCAACGACGTCAAAACGATATGAATATCGAGCCAGGGAAAATATCCTGCATTGCTCATTTTTTTTCCAAAATAG